TATATATATATATATATATATGTGTGTGTGTATATGTGTGTGTGTGTGTGTGTGTGTGTTACACCAATGAAAATATGATGGAGTCATTTCAAATTTCAAATTAAAAGATAGCCATATGGATTTTTATTGATTTATTTTATTCATATAATTATAAATGGAAGGCTATAAATATGTAACATTATTATATTAAAAATAGCTTGGAATTAGAATCATGTAAATGTTTTAACTTTGCATAGAAGATATGGCCTCATACCTCTCTCTGAAATAGGAAATTTGGTTAGTTAACCATGAAAGAATATTAGATTCTATCTTTAATAATCATTGATTAATGAAATTTTCTTTCCATTTTTGTTTTTTTATCATATTTTATGATTTGTATCTTGTATCCCAACCACTCAACTTACTATATGTCTAGACTTAGCTACTGCACTTTATCACACCATGGTGAAAATCCACTCCTAGTATGCCTTCATGCACCACCATTTTCCATCTCTTAGTAGTGGCCTTGATCTTGATTACCTTATGTTGATTATAGTTATTAAATCTTTACCTTCCTCAATGGAGGATGTTCAGCCATACACATTGCCTCTTCTTTCAATCTCTTTATAAGCAAATCACAAATGACAATACTAGATAGATAATTATATCTCCTAAACTTTACAAAGTCACTAAACGGTTAATGATATAATTGCAAAATCAAAGAATAATGAAGGGAAAAATAAGTAGTATAAGCCAACAAGGCCAATCCAAGTCACATATTTATAGATTTTGATGCCAACAGGTGTAACACGTGTTAGTAATCCAACCAATTTGCATATTCAACATTTAAGATCAACAAAGCCAAATTGGGCTCATTACATTTATGTTCTTAATCTTCTGGGCTTCATGAAAGAAATATGAGAATCAATGAATTGATGTATCACTCAAAGTCATTTGGATTAGTATTAGTAAGTCGTTATAAGTGCCTAAACTAAGTTTAACGAGTCATTGATCTTTAATAAGTTTAATTCATTGATATTCAACACTCTGAAAGCTTAAAGTTGTCCAGACTCTATTGACTTAAAGCTAAAAACTCGCCAAATTGCAAGGGTGCTCTCCCTCAATCCAAAACTAGCCTAAAGTATATGCTTGGTGAATTGCTAACAACCAAACTTGCTAGCTACAAGATGAAAGATATTGAGTGAACTCATGTTCTCTTAATGTTTTTTTATGTAGCCCATCCTCTGTCAATAATCTTAATCATCATCTATAATTAATGATTCACTTACCACGCATGACTCTGATGTAATTCAATATTTTTCCTTATGTATTTCTCTTTATATTTTCTGAAACTTCTTCCCTTATAAGAATTGATTACAACCATTGTTTGATACATCATTTCCCACTAATGGATCAACCAAGTCTCCTATAAATTGAAAATACTTGAAGGGAATCTCTAAACTAATATTCTCTCTCTCTGTCTCCCCCTCCCAATCAGCTCAATCCTAATCGACAGTAAGGTCTTGTTTTGATCAAAGGACAACATCAAATCCTATATATATATATATATATATATATATATTTGGGCCAATTCAACTAGCCACCTATAACTTGAAATTTGCTTCATAAATCCAATATAAAAACATAATGGAGTAGATTACCATCTTATTTAACTTCCGAAGCAAGTTTTAAGCAACTTTAAGCTTCATATGATTTCATCAATCCCTAGCTTCCACACCAAATAAATTTTTAATACACACATATACATTCCAATTATCAATCAAAGAACAAGAAAGTTGTATTTTTGTAGTCAATTCATCCACCAAAAGTTAATGCCAACCTTCACAAGTTTCATCTCCTCTCTTTCAATTCCTTAACAAAAACAAACCTAAAGTTAAATTTCACCTCTTTCTCATTTAAATAAAATGTGGTGTGTGTTGTGTGTGTGAGAGAGAGAGAGAGAGAAAGAGAGAGTTGTTTTAAAATACAATTTGTCATTAGAACACAATACATATAATTTCCAAAGAAATTAAAGGTCCACTTCTTTCCTCCTTTTATTAATTAAGACAACGCTGAGATTACAATGCACAAATTATTCAAACATCTGACATCACATTTAGAGCGATAACATACAATCATGAAAACCTCAACAGAAAATTTTTCTTCATAATATCATTAAATTAGTTATTGATCTTCTCCCCCTTTAAGAAAATTTTTGTACCATTCAGCTGATAATTTTGGAGTTCTCTTCTGCGTTTTATAATCAACATGATAAAGCCCAAATCTTTCAGAATAACCATGCAACCATTCAAAGTTATCAATAAGAGACCATACGAAATAGCCTCTTACATCAGCTCCTTTCCTGTAATCACAAATTTATAAAACAATTAATAACATTCACAATCAACAACATATTTTAAAATAAATAACATTTCAGTGTAGAAATTACCTAATAGCATTAGATAGTGAAGTAAGGTAGCTCCTCAAAAATTCTACTCTGACTTCATCAATCAGAATTTCCTTTGTTGATAAATTGCTACTAGTATTTTGTCCATAGCCTGCATTCATAGTCATATTATTTAAGAAACCACAAATTTCCTCCATACATATAAAGAATCCAATTTCTTCACTCTTCCTTACCATTTTCTGTGAGAAACATAGGCACATTTTTGTACCTCTCCATTACATACAAAACAGTCTTTTCCATGCCATTTGGTGTAACAAAAAGATTAGACATACCAGTCTGCAAAAAGAAGACTCTCATATTATCTTTTTTCTAAAGGAAATTGTATGAAACCATCTCTAAAAGAGAAAGAAAACCAATGCATTTAAACGCAAATAAGAGAGAGAGAGAGAGAGAGAGAGAGAGAGAGAGAGAGAGAGAGAGAGAGAGACTAACCTTTGGTCCAATGGGAACGCCATTCTTGTATCCAAGACCTAGCACAGAGCCATTGCTTTGAAAGGGCCCTAAATAACATTCTGAAAAAAGGCAATCTTTGGCATACAAGGAGGTGTAGTGGTTTACTCCAATGAAATCCAAGCTACTTCTCAATTTCTTCTTGTCACTAGATGAAAATGTTGGCAATATTGGTCCTAAGATTTGGTTCATCTCTGGTGGATAAGAACCATATATTATGGGATCAAGAAACCTACAATGTATTAACCATCATATAAACCATTATACAGATCCAAATAGGCATTTTTCTTCTAAGATCCATCTATATATCTCACCATCCAATTTCAAAAGCGCTCGCTCGTGCGGCAGCCATCCTTTCAATTGGGGTATCAGAATATGGCTCAAACCAAGTTGTTGACACCACAATGCCAATAGAACCTCCTTGCTTTCTCTTTAAACAAGAGTTCAGATAATGATTGATTAAAGAAAAAACTGAATTTATTTGAATAGTTGTGATCACAGCAGCAGCAACAACAACAACATCAAGCCTTTATCCCACTACGTGGGGTCAGCTACGTGAATCCTTTTTCTCCATTGTTTCCTATTAAAAGCCAAATTCGCATTTAAATCTAATAAAGAAAGACCATTTCTAATAATTTCTAACCAATTCTTTTTAGGTCTGCCTCTATCTTTCTTAACATAAGTCAAATTTAACACCTCTACTTTCCTAACCAGGTCATCGGAAGGCCGCCATTTTATGTGACCAAATCATCTATGGCAACTTTCTCTAATCTTATCTTCTACTGAAGCTACTCCAACCTTTTAATGTATATGCTCATTTCGTATCATATTTCCAAAGGGTAAAGCCACTCATCCACCTAAGCATCCTCATCTCTGCCACACTTAACTTAGTATTATACTTCTCTTTTAATAGCCAACATTCAGCACCATAAAGCATTGCAGGACTGAAAAAAATTCAAACAAAATTTAGTATTCGTTCACTTTGATCCTTACCTGATATTTCTTTCTGTAAATATCAACAGCAGTAGCATGTGATAGTATCACATTATGGGCAGCAATGAATGGCTCAATGTCAGAATCTCCTACTGAACAATTACCATAAGGTTCAGAACAACGACTTGGCGGATATATACCCAACCGATATCCTTTGTTAACCAAGACAGTTGGCTCATTAAATGTGCTCCAATATTTTACTCTTTCGCCAAATTCTTTGAAGCATATATTTGCAAAATACCCAAAATCTTCTCTGTAGAAGAAGAATAAACCATCACCTCAAATGAAAATAACAGTACAGTTCTGAAATTTTTGAAGACAGGAGGATCATACTGTATCTGAGAATTTAGCCATGCGCCATATCGATCTTCTAATTCTTGAGGAATGTCGTAATGACATAACGTTACAAAGGGCTGTATTCCTGATTCAAAAACATGATTTAGTTAGATATAATCAAGCTTATGAATTGCTAATTGCAGACTATGTAGTAAAATTAGCACCTTTAAGCAGTAAGTAATCAATAAGTTTGTTATAAAATGATAGGCCTTCTGAATTAATCTCTCCAAACCTGCCTCCTATTTTCCAAAGATCAAACAGCTAGTTAATTTGTGTTTTGATAGAGAAAATCTGAAAGTATATATATGCAGAGAGAGAGAGAGAGAGAGAGAGAGAGAGAGCTACAACTTACTGGGTAAAACTCTTGACCAAGATATAGAGAACCTGTAGGAGTTCACTCCAAGGGAATGCATCAAATCGATGTCATTCTGTAGCAATCAAAACCACTTAAGGAATTTGAAAACCACAAGGATTTATAGTTAAATATAGCTTACATGATAATGAATTCAATGAATTTCAAACCTTGTATCGATGATAATGGTCGTCAGCTATGTCCCCATTACTACCATCCTCTATTATTCCTGTCAAAAGAAACTAACAAGTAGGTTTAACTGAAGATTCAGATAAAGAAAACAATGGTTTTTTGAACAAAAACATAAGAAAATCTATCTTAGCGTTACTGAATGTCTAATTAACGCTTCATTTGGGATGACTTTCTTTCTGATTCTTGAAGCAGCTTTTTAATACAAATTAAAAAAAATTTATACTAAAAAGTTACTTCAAGAAGCAGAAAGAAAGTCATCTCAGATGAAGCCTAAATATGCATAATTATTGTAGTCTTCTTTTGATATAGCATGTTTTTACCCTCACAATTACCTGGTGTGTGGGAGAAGACATCCCAATTGCTTAAGCCTTTGTTACCATCCAAATATCCACCTTCAATCTGGGAATACAAGTAATGGTCATCTTATCTTTTCAAGTTTGAAATTAGAACACACTTGCAGATAAGAATAGCATCTGTCGTCATTCAATAATGTTCAGAAAAATATTAAAAAATAAGCAATGAGTGGGCGTGGTGAACAAAATCAAACCATTCGTGCTCTAAAAAGGTTCCTATTCACCTAAATATCTGGTTTATCATATAAATAAAATTCATTATGATTAAAGATGCATCCTAACTAAGGCTTTATTAGGACAGCTTCTTAATGCGTTGCTTTTCAGCCACAATCAGAATTTCCTATCACTATTTTTTTCTAATGCTTTCTATAATAACTTTTAAAAATTTACTTTCTTTATCACAGTTTTACAAAATAATAAGAAAATCGTCTCAAATGAAACTTAGGCTTCGTTGTTTGGGACTTTCTACTGCTTCTTAAAGCCGCTTCTTAATACAAAATTTTTAATTATTTACTATAAAGTTGCTTTAAGAAACAACAAAAAAGACGTCCCAAACTAAGCCTTAAACTTAGTTTTTTTTTTAGGACAGTTTTTTTATTACTTTATGAAATAATTTCTTAGTAAAAAAATATTTACTAAAAAGTTACTTCATAAATAGTAAAAAAACTGTTCCAAAGAAAGCTTTAGCCAACTCTGAAAAAAAAACGAGCATGAGATCGAAATATCTCTCAAAATTTTTTGCAAGTAAAAAAAGAACAAAAGAGGAACAAGTCATTTAGAAGAGGAAACATCTCTCTCTCTCTGCCTCTCTGTCTCTTAATTTTGATCATCATAGAAACAATAATAATGATAGAAAGCACATATACATACATATATTATTGCAATTTTACCTGATAAGAGGAAGTGGCTGTTCCAAAGAGGAAACCAGGAGGGAATTGGCTTCTATCGATTCCAGCTACTAAAGAAGAGAACAAGCAAAGCAGCAGAGCAAGCAACATCATAAATCCAAAACTCACAACTCAGTATACTTGATAACGGCCAGTGGAGGCTTTATATAGAGATGGAGACACAATAAATCATACAAAGAATTTCTTATAGGCATCAGCAAGTATCATCCCCACTTTATTCTTCAAAGGATTTTGTGTTTATCTGAGCATAAAAAAGACAGATGATGATGGGGACTTCCTAATAGTTTTTTATATGATTTCAGAACTCTGAGGTTTAAGACAGTTCACGAATGCAGAACTGAAATGGACAGATGAAAATTTAGCGAAAAAAATAAAAAATCACAGTCAAGGAGAAATTTCATCTGTTAGATCGTTGCGTATGGAAATAATAAAAGGTTTTTTGCTTCACCCTAAATATTGATTTTCTCCTTCTGATCACTTCACTACCCACTTGCGGATTATGGGCCAAAATTATAGCAGAAAGGCATCAGGGACTGTATCTGGAAGAAAACTAAGTAAAAAACAAAGGTCACCGCCTAAATTGGCCTGAAGTTTGTTATTTACTACTGTGCTACTTTCGTGGCACCACGTGGCAACTTCATCTAAATTATTTAGTCATAAAATTCGTATATAATAAAACATCAATGTTTAGGTGATGCACGAATTTCAAAGCAAATAAAGAGGAGTAAATTAGCACTCAATTTAAATTAAAAGTTTGGTTCAAAGATTAAATGAGATATAAATGATTCAAAATCATATTAATGTAGAACTATATATGCAAGTGATGTTGAGTTGGAATTTACACAGTTCTTGAACATAGCTTAATAATTTATTAACTCACAATGAACTTAAGCAATGACTTCAGCTTGAAGGAGGCAATCAAGCTTATGCAAACAATCACATGCTAATGGGAGGATCATTAAATAATAGATTAATTAATAACATGCTCATGTGATGTTTTTGAGACAATTCCTAAGTTAACAAATAGATTAATCACTACAAAGGCCCACTCACACAATGCTCTTGATGTGGGCTAAGCGGATAAGCTTTCATAATAAATCGATTCCACGATTGAGGAAGGATCAAAAAGGTACAGGGGGTTGGGAAGAGTTGACCCACATGGAAGAAGATACTAAGCCACGACGAAGACGTTTGGCTGCCTATGTAGAAAGGACAACAATATAAATCCTCTAGCATGCCCGAACAGCACTCTAACATCTCCAGAAATTTTGGACAGCAACTATATGGGCGTCAAATCCTGGAACAACTGGTAGTGGGGCTGAGAAATGGGTTGATCCTATATTTCAGCAGCAGGAGACTATCTTTGGGAAGATTTGGGAGGGAAACAATAAGCTCCTGGTGTGAAATTGGGGGGTTGGCAAGCACTAAATGATTAGAGGACCGATTTGGACCTTAGTGGAGTTAACAACAATAGCTTACTGGTTAAGTAAAGAGGAATTAATTAAAATCTCCAATTAATAGTCTAATTGGCTGACTGGGATATCTTTCCAAACATAACACAATAATTTAGGAAGGGACTTCATGGTTTTTAGGAGAATTCAAATTTGAGTTCAGATTTCTAAAATTAACGTTAGGCTAATTTAGGAATAAGAATTAACTAGGAACTCCAATTAAATTTCAGATTGGTTGATTGGGATATCTTTCCAAACATAACCCAACAATTTAGGAAGGGAATTCAAGTCTTTTAGGAGAATTTGAATTTGAATTCATATTTCAAAAATTAACATTAGGCTAATTTAGGAGGAGGAATTAACTAGAATCTACAATTAAATTTCAGATTGGTTGATTGGGAAATCTTTCCAAACATAACCTAACAATTTAGAAAAGAAATTCAAGGCTTTTAAGAGAATTCAAATTTGAATTTAGATTTCCAACATTAATGCTAGGCTAATTTAAGAAATTGTTGGATTATCAATTTGAAAATTTGGAGAAAGGAAAGTGGGGGGAAGGGGTCATGAAGGTTCCGTCCATAGACAAAGAGGGGCAGCCACTATGAGAAGGAGAGGGAGGGGTTGTGGAGGATCGACCAAGGTGAAGTATGGGGGTGATGGCTCGGCTAGGCTTGGATGTGAGGATTTAGAGCATGGGCAAGGTTAGGATGAGAAGGAAGAGGGTCTGTTGGAGCTTTAGGAGGAGATGATGGTGGCAGCGAACTTAATGCGGGGTGGAGGCAGAGATAAACTATGAGCCCGAACATTTTTTGCAGTTGATGGGTCTTGCTTCTCCCTCACCAAGGGACTTCACATAAGCTCTCACAAGAACTCTAAATGCTCTCAAATACAATAAGAAACAAAATGCATAAATTTTCATTCATAATAATCATTATCCTCCTAAAGGGGAGGCTAGGCCTACAAATAGACAAAATACAATAAAATATCAAATAACAAAAGTGCCCCCTAGGGTCACATAAACCTACTCCCTCAAGTGAGGGTAAAAATAGAAAAAAATACAAATAATAAATCAAATACAAATAAATGCTTAGAAATAGAGTAATATGATCATAGCAGTAGACCTCCGACCATTCCTTTGATAAACTTTCCACGTCAGGATGTCCTTATCATTCTCCCATGGTGGAAAAGAGATTGACTTCGTCGAGTATGCATCCTGGGTGCTCTCATAGATCTCTAGCACATCTAGTTCAATCCTCTGAAGCTCCTCACTCTCTAGCAAAGTGTTCTCTATCTCTAGTTTACCTCTCCACCTTACCAAGTATCTTCTTCGTCCACCCTCTTTCATGGAAATGATGTTATCATTTAAAATCATGTCAATATTTTCTGTAATAGGTGATTTAGGAATATTTAGAAGTGGAAGAAGGCTTGGGTTCTGACATGGTGGGGTCACAAAAGGCTCAATATGTAGTGGATTGGTTGGGTTAAACTCTGGGCCTGGATAAGACACTAAATCTTCATTGTTAAAAGAGTGATTGATATTGAAATATGCAGGCAAATCCATCACATAGGCATTATCATTAATTTTCTTGATTATTTTAAATGGTCTCGCACTTTTAGCATGTAATTTCTTAATGATCTCTTTTAAAAATCATTCCAGCTGGATCCGAACCATCACTGAATCATCCACCTTGAATGTCTTGAATCTTCATTTAAGATCAGGATGAAATTTATAATTTGCATTACTCTATTTAATACGACGTGTAATTTCCTTATGTAAATCATACAAATGTGATGCAAATGAAGAAGCAAACTCAGAAATCATATACCTATGACAATTGGGTATGAGATCTAAAGGATGCCTCATATTGTACCCATAAATAATCTCAGCAGGATTCAGACCAGTGGTGCTATTCACAGAATTATTATAAGCAAACTCGGCCGTGGGGAGCTTGGTATCCCAATCTCAAACGTGCTCACCTATTAGGGTCCTTAATAAATTTCCTAAACTCCGATAGACCACTTCAGTCTGGCAATCAGTTTGAGGATAATAGGTTGGGATATCTTGGGCAGGCCAAGAATGAAGCCGATGCTAACATCCTACCATGGACAACTATGAACTGGTAATGGTGTGTACAGACCTGCGTTCTGCTTTTGTTGCTTGGCCAATTGACGTGTGTGGTATTTATTGACCATCTTGCCCACATCTTTCTTCAAGCTATGCCAGAGGAAATAGTACTCCACATCCTAAATAGTCTTGTCATAACTGAAATGACTAGTGAGACCTCTGGCATGAAGTTGCCAAATTAGGAATTTCCTAAGGGAAGTGCTTGGAATTTAAAGCTTCTGAGCTTTGAATAGATATCTATCCTCAAGGAGAAAATCATCTACAAGGCTCTCGCTGGCTATGGACAAAAGGGAATAGATCTTCTTGAAGTTGAGGCACTCCGAGTAATCCTTTATGACCTACTCAAACCCAATGGCTTTTGACCTCATCTCAATGGTAGTCATCAGAAGACGACTGAGGGCATCGGCATCCTTATTCTTAACTCTCGCTTTATGCCTAAGGGTATAAGTGTACTTCTGTAAGAACTCTACCCAACGGCTATGGCATGCATTCTAGTTTTTTTAGGAGTTGATATAATGAAGAGCCTCATGGTTCAAAAAGATAACGAACTCCTATAGGAGCAGGTAGTGTCTCCAATATCATAGAGATTGGATCACATCATAGAACTCTTTGTCATACGTAGAATTGTGCTATCAAATGTCATTCAATTTCTTGTTAAAAAATGCAACAATGTGACCTTCTTGAGACAGTACTCCTCCAATTTCGTCTGCTAAAGCATCAAAGGTAACTTTGAAGACCTTAGAGAAGTCAAGAAGTCTCATCCTCAAGGCTTCCACCATTCTTTTCTTAATCTCCTCAAAGGCTTTGGTGGTAGCCGTGGTCCAGTGAAAATTTTCATTCTTAAGACAATCAGTTATAGGAGATACAATGGTACTGAAGTTCTTAATGAATCTCCTATAGAATGTGGCTAAGTTGTGGAAGCCACAAATTTCTCAGATGTTTCGAGGAGTAGGCCAATCAAGTATTGCTCGCACCTTCTCAGGATCTGCAGAGACTCCCTGTGCTGAAATAATATAGCCCAAAAACATCACATGGTCTATAATGAAGGTGCATTTCATAGGATTAGCATATAGTTGCTCCTTCCTTAGGACCTCATAGACTTGCCTCAAGTGTTCTAGGTGTTAACTCACGAACCACTATAGATAAAAATGTCGTCGAAGTAAATAGCAACAAACTTACCCATGGAAGGGCGCAACACTTGAGTCATGACTCTCATGAATGTACTCGAGGCATTACTCAACCCGAATGGCATGACTATCGACTCATACAGATCATCCTTGATATTGAAGGAAGTCTTCCACTCATTATCGAGTCGGATCCAGATCTGATGGTAACACTCTAAAGATCGATCTGGGAGAATAGAGTGGTCCCAACATAATATCAATCATATTGTCCAACCTTGGGATGAAAAAATGATATGTGATGGTGATCTTGTTGATAGCACGGCTATCAACACATATCCGTCAAGTACCATCCTTCTTTGGAGTAAGAAGAGCTAGTATAATAGAGGGGCTGAGGCTTTCCTTAATGAAACCACACTGCAATAGCTCATCCACCTGCTTTTTTAATTCAATCCTTCCAAGGAGGAGAATGAAGCTTGAATATTTGACCCACACAACATTCTCATACCATTGGATTTAGGAATCAAATATGACAATCAAAGCATATGCAGGAGTGTCGCACTTTAAGTTTAGGAAATCATATTTAATGCATGAGAGAAATTTTAAAAATACTTAAATATGATCATTTATGTCTGTACTATCATTTAGAAAATGCCCGAGATTTCATTTAACGATCTACAAATGCCTTCTCTCCGCTTGTACGACTGGAGAGGAGTCGGGGTGTAAGCGATGTTGGGTCAAGCGGCTGGAGGCGGGATCGAAGGTAGGCCAATCAGCACGTTCGATGGAAGCAAGGTTGGAGTCGAAGACAAAAGTAGAGAGATCCGTCTGTTCCTATCTGCTTATATGAGTTAGAATGCTTAATTATCTCCAACGATATTTGCTTGAGGTATGTATAGAATATACCTTTGACAGTTCATCATAAGTGTGGTTTTATGAAAACGAGCAGTGCGTAGGTTGGGAGCAAGTAGTTATGTCGTTTCATAAAGTGGGGACGATTTCTTGTGAGTGAGGCCAGTCGGCTATGTTTGATAGGTGGTTAGAAGTCAACAACATTGCCTTTTAAACTAAATTTCTAATGATTTTTCTAAGTATTATATATATATATATATGGAGAGCTCATGCTTGTACAAAATCCTATTAATTTTTTATCATTGATGTGCTGAGCTTAAGGATTTGAGAAATAAAGCTTGCACGAATGGGGAATTTTAATTATAAATTGGGATGTCTTGTATGTGTATTTTGAGTCAAGTTGAACTAATTTCAAACAAGTCACCCATGACTCAAAATTAGGCTTGTTCCATATACTTTGACTTCTGAATTTACATTAGCATAATTAAATCTATTCAAATCTTCTATTAAGATTTAGAGTGAATTTTAAGCAAGCTTTAAACATAATGTATTCTTCTTAGCCCTAATTGCTACTCCAAACAAATTCTGAGATCTCCAAAACAATAGAGAATTTAAATTTACATAACTTGAGAAAAATATCATATATGTTTCTAGTGGATATTTACCAAACTTGAGAAAAAGACCATATATGATCTTGATACATCATACAAAAATTATCTTGATAGGACACTAATCTCAAAGCAAAATCAAGTTGAAACTTCCAAAATCAAAATCAGGAGTATATGAAATCCGTTTTCAGCAAACTTATAGTCGAACTGAGCGTCTCGGAAATACGAACCCAACGACTCCAAATTCGACCCAATCTGAGCTCAAATGGGTCCAAATCAAGGACCCGAAGCTCTGTTGGAAGGTTCAAACCACAATTTGGATTACCAAAATGGATTCTAAACATAACAAGCTTTTAGTCAAATTGAGCGGCTCGACGAGACAAATCCAACGAGCCCAAGATCACTAAATTCCGATATCACTACAACATTCAAACGTCAATCGAACGGTTCATGATCAAGGGATTCAAGATCGGCCGTCCATCCAAATACTCCCAACTAACCCTTGATCCTCCACCTATTTATGGGCCATGCCATTCCCAAAATTTATAAATAGAGCCCCCTCTCCTCTTGAAAAGGGACCCTGGAGCTTAAGGAAAAAAGAGAGAGATCGGAGATCGCTCTTACTTCCTAGCCTCCTTGACCACCGCCGGAGTTTCGCTAGACCACTGCCGGACCACCACTTGAGGCCCTCACCTCCGTCGGACCACCGCCTGACACCGTTTCTCCGCCGGACCACCGCCTGACTCCGTTGCTCCGCCGGACCACCGCTTGATGCCGTTGCTCCGCAGGACCACCTCCTGAGGCCCGAACTTCTTCCGGACCACCACTGGAGGGCCTCACCTCCGCTGGACCACCGCCTGATGCCGTTGCTCCATCAGACCACCACCTGAGACCCGTACTTCTTCCGGACCACCACTTGAGGCCCTCACCTCCGTCGGATCACCGCCTAACGTCGTTGCTCCGCCGGACCACCACCTGAGGCCCGGACTTCTACCGAACCACCACTTAAGGCTCAGACTCCGCCGGACCACCATCTTACACCCGAATTTCTACCGAAGTATCGCCTTGCCGACTACGGTCCTCCCGACCTCCGTTGCCTACTACGGTCACTCCGACCTCCATCACAAGACCATGGTCTTTCAGATCTCGGTCTCCTGCCAACAACGGTCTTTCAGACCCTGGTCTCTTGCCAATAACGATCTTTCAGACTCCGGTCTCCTACCAACAACGGTCTTTCAGATCCTGGTCTCCTGCCGACTACGGTCCTCCCGACCTCCGTCGCCTACTACGGTCACTCCAACCTCCATCATAGGACAATGGTCTTTCAGACCCTAGTCTTCTGCCGACTACGGTCCTCTCGACCTCCGTCGCCTACTACGGTCACTCCGACCTCCATTACAGCACAACGGTCTTTCTGACCCCAGTCTCATGCCGACTACGGTCCTCCCGACCTCCGTCGCCTACTACGGTCACTCCGACCTCCATCACAGGACAATGGTATTTCTGACCCCAGTCTCTTGCCGATTACGGTCCTCCCGACCTCTGTTGCCTACTACGGTCACTCCGACCTCCATCACAGGACAAAGGTCTTTTCTGACCCCAGTATCCTGCCGATTACGGTCCTCCTGACCTTCGTCGCCTATTACGGTCACTCCGACCTCCATCATAGGACAATGGTCTTTCTGACCCCAGTCTCCTGCCGACTACGGTCCTCCCGACCTCCGTTGCCTACTACGGTCACTCCGACCTCCATCACAAGACAATGGTCTTTCAGACCTCGGTCTCCTTCCAACAACGGTCTTTTAGACCCGGGTCTCCTGCCAACAACGGTCTTTCAGACCCTGGTCTTCTGCCGACTACAGTCCTCCTGACCTCCGTTGCCTACTACGGTCACTCCGACCTCCATCACAGGACACCGATTTTTCTGACCCCAGTCTTCTGCCAACTAAGGTCCTCTCGACCTCCGTCGCCTATTACGGTCACTCCGACCTCCATCAAAAGGCAACGATCTTTCAGACCCCGGTCTCCTGCCGATTACGGTTCATCTGACCTCTGTCTCTTGCCGACAATGGCCCTTCCAAACAAACAAACATGTCTATGTTGATTATATGACGTACATTTGTAACATCAAGCTAAGGCATTCTCCTTAAGAAGGGCCTCATTTGTAATCGGCTACAAATACTAGTGGATTCATTCAAATTGGGCTAGGCCCCATGGTTTTTCCCCCTTTTTAGGGGTTTTCCACGTAAAAATTCTGGTATCTCTTATGAACGCTACACCCTCTCACTTATCTGATTGTGTGCTGGATCTTCGTACAATGCTAAGACGTTAAATTATATATTTCTCTACCGCCGCGAATACTCCAGGACGCAACAGATCTAAATATAAAGAAATTTAAAAGGCATAAACTAAATAATTTTAGCAGTAAATTATAAGCAAAAGTTGTGCTGATTTGGAATGGCAAATGTTTAGAACATTAAAATACTGAGGAGAGCATTTCCATAAATATAAACATTATATGATCAATGACAAATAGTTGATTTACTTAATTACATAATTACACAAAGTTGATATAACAATATACAAATTATTCAAACATTTTACTGCACAATACCAAGCAAGATACAATTCAGTAGCCCCAACAAAGTATTTACATGATAACTTGATTAGATTAGTTTGCTAATCTGCTTGTTTTTAACATATTAGATACAGTTGTTTTGATCTTGGGGCCATCAAGAAATTCCTTGTACCATTTGGCAGATAGCTTTGGAGTTCTCTGCTGTGTGTCATAATCAACATGAAAGAGGCCAAATCTTTCCGAGTACCCAAACAACCATTCAAAGTTATCAATAAGTGACCATATAAAGTAGCCTCTTACATCAGCTCCTTTCCTACAATTACAAATATTTAAAATAGTCAGTGCCATTGATGAAAGGATATATTACTTGAAACCTTAAGCAATTGCTTGACATCTAATCTGTAACAGTAATCAAATTCATCAATTCAGATTCAATTTGTATCAGAAATTTTCATATGAAAATCTAAATAAAAGCTTAAAGGAGACAACAAGCATGATTAAAATGAAAAAACTTATAGCTGTTTTTTTAGTTGTTATTATGTGTAGCAGTCAGGGGCGGATCCACCTTAAGGCCCCCCCTGAAAAGGTAAAAAATAAATTTTATTATATGATTCTTTAGGTAATTTGTCCCCCTTTATGTATTTTTTAGTTTTTATTACAAAAATTTTTAGACAATTGCTCCCCTAAAAGTTTTAAAATACTATGATCTTTAAGGCAATTTCCCCAACATAATTAAACATATTGTGTAGACATGTTATTATTAGGAAACGATGAACCAAATACCAAAGAGAAATAGTTAAGAGAATCCAAAAATATCCTTACAACCAAAATTTGTTGTAAGGATACTAAATTAAGGCTTTGTTTGGGTCGAACCCCGTTAGGGGGTGCTGCCTCCTTAGACCTCCGACATATCTGTGAAGCGTATAATGACGAAGGATATGAACAAATAGGGGTCAAGCGGCAGCGCCCTCAGAACAAATTTTGGTTGTGAGGATATTTATGAAAAAAACGTTATGCACTTATACTGATAAATTTGCCCCTCCGAAAAGTAAGGCTGGTTCCGCCCATGGTGGCAGTTACCTAATAGCTTTAGAGAGTGAAGTAAGGTAGCTGCTAAAAAATTCTACTCTTTCTTCGTCATTGATGAAGTCCTCAATTGATAACTTGCTATCACTCTTTTGTGCATAACCTGCATCGCAAAATCAAGCAAATTTAGACTCTTGCTGCAAAATCAGCTCCCTCCATATAAATAACTCAAATTTTCAAACTTTCCTCTTACCATTCTCAGTGATAATCATAGGCAAGTTTTTGTATCTTTCCATTACATACAAAACAATCTTTTCCATGCCTTTTGGAGTCACATAAAAATCTGGCATATCCGTCTGCAAACCAGAAAACATTACAAATACAAATAATCTGAAGTCTGAAGATAGGTTAATAAGCTATATAAACATTTGAGATGAAAAGATTTCTAATTCTGAATTTAGACTAACCGTTGGTCCAACAGGAACTCCATTGCTGTACCCAATACGAAGCAGAGACCCATTGCTGGTAAAAGGGCCAAGATTACATACTGAAAACAAGCAATCCTTTGCAAACATGGAGGTGTAGTGGTTGATTCCAATGAAATCCAAGCTGTTATTTAATTTCTTCTTATCACTGGATGAAAATGTTGGCAATACTGATCCTAAGATTTGGGTCATTTCAGGAGGATAAGAACCATAAATCATGGGATCAAGAAACCTACAATGGATGAAAACATGATATGAGTTAAGAAGCAGGAAAATAATTAATAGCTTCATAGGATAATTTAAATGGGAGGTAAATAAGGAAATGAGTGGCTATGAAAGTATATGAAAAGTATATTTAATTTGATAAACTAAAAAAACGAGAATTTGTTATGAGGCTGATACCATCACTCGCCTAAAATATTCAGTTCAAATTTTACTTTGGATGAATCTTTCTATTTTCTTTGAGATTAGTATAGTATATGAATATTAATCAATTAATTATTATTTTGCACGGATCTCAAAATAATTTCAAAGATTTCAAACTTCATTGAAACTAAATTAAGTCTTCATTTGGGAAGAGATTATTAAGGGCGGAGATCAGACACAGCGAACCGTTTGATTTTGTCTCTGTGAACAGTAAAAGCACAGCAAAAGCTCAGTTACTATTTCATCACTGCGCTTTTACTGCTCACAGACATAAATCCGAACAGTTCTCTGTGTCCGGTCTACACACGTAATAATCTCTCTCTCATTTGGGACAATTTTTTGGACTGCAACCACAGTTATTGTTTGAGCATTTCTACAACAGCTTTTAAAAAGATTACTTTCTGTATAGCAATTTTACAATGACTTTTACAGAAAGCTATAGCCGTCTCAAACGGATTCTAAATCAGCATATTTAATCCAATTATGTTAATGATATAAAAAGTCAAATAAAGGATATAAAATAATTACCATCCAATTTCAAAAGCACTAGCTCTGGCAGCTGCTATTCGGTGGACTGGAGTATCCTCATAAGGTTCATACCAAGTAGCTGACATCACAATTCCAATAGAACCACCTTGTTTCTCCTTCAAATTAATGAACAAAACTTCTTTTAATAATAAATCATCTAGCTTGTTTTAGAAAGACAATCATTTAACAACTTGAAACCTTAGCCTTACCTGATATTTCTTTCTGTAAATATCAACAGCAACAGCATGTGACAATATCACATTATGAGTAGCAATAAATGGCTCCTTGTCAGAATCTCCTGATGAACAATGGCCATAAGGCTCAGAACAACGCCCAGGCGGATATGTACCCTCAATATATCCTTTGGAAACCATGACATTTGGCTCATTAAATGTGCTCCAATATTTCACTTTGTCGCCAAATTCTCTGAAGCATATTTCAGCAAAATATCCAAAATCTTCTCTGTGGAGGACAGAAAACTCATCTTTAGTTCAAATGAAAACATTGACAGAGCGAGAAAGAGAGAGAAAGAGAGAGAGGGCCATACTGTATCTGAGAATTCAGCCATGCACCATATCTATCTTCAAGTTCTTGAGGAAGATCATAATGGTTTATTGTAACAAATGGTTGTATTTCTGATTCAAAAACATTATAGAGTTGCAGAGACAGTAAAGATTTACCAAATAAAAGAATTTATTTATGTTTTTTGTATGTGAAACAATGTACCTTTAAGTATTAAGGCATCAATAAGGTTATTGTAAAATGAGATTCCTTCTGAATTGACCTCTCCAAACCTACCTCCTGTACATATGATGGATTGGTGAAATGAAGCATGGTTCATATCTTGATAGGAAAGCTACACATATTTACTGATCTGTATGAACTTACTGGGTAAAATTCTTGACCATGATATGGAAAATCTGTAGGAGTTCACCCCAAGAGAGTGCATTAAGTTGATGTCATCCTGTTGCAAACCCTGCTTAGTCAATTTTTTAATCTACAAAAACTTATTGTAGTTGCGATATTTTTTTCCCGAGTGATCAAAATGATCTTCAACTATATAAAAGTATCACTTTAATCCCTTGATTATTTAAATAGAGACTAAATTAGTCCTTCCGTGAGATCGTTTGAGTCCCTATTGAAGAGAAATTGTTCTATTCGGAGACCGGACAGCGAGAACCATTTGGATTTCCTGCCCTTTTGTTAAGTATTTGCAAAAGACAGTAAAAGCACAGCAAATCTGGACGGTTCTTATCATCCGGTCTCCGCACAAAATAATCTCTCCTATTTGAATAGGCAATTGACGAAAATAAAACGGTTAAATAACCGGGAATCATTTTCACACTTCGTAAGTAGTTAAGGACCATTTTGATTCATATCTCTCTTAAAAATTGTGAACTTTAGAGGATATATGGCCCAACTGTTTCTTTTAATAAATTGCATCAAAATTAAACAAATTGTAGACCTTGAATCGATGATAGTGGTCGTCAGCAATGTCCCCATTACTCCCATCCTTTATTTTTCCTGACAGAAGCAAGCATCAGGTAGGTTAAAATGACAATTATGATGAAGGAAAAGACATGGTCGCTTGAACAAAACAAAAGCATTTTTGACATCTGTTGCCCTTACTTGGCTGATTATGAAATTATGTTTATTTAATGAAGAGCGGTCCACATAAAAGTTATGGAGCGTAATTAATCTGCATCTAACTAACGCCTGGTTTATCGTGCCACCACCTATTAACATAGTTTTACGCCAATCATTTTGATCTGTTGGTTCGAAGTTTTGATTACCAATAAAAAAATTTTGAGTTTGAAGCTTATATATATAATGTGTATATGAGTTTATCTTAGGTTTCGTTTGGGACGGCTTTTCTTATTATTTCTTAAAACAGTTTTCTAGTATAAAAATTAAAATTTTTATACTATAAAATTGCTTTGAGAAACAACAAGACAGCTGTCACAAACGAAACTTTAATTAGCTAAAAAATTCGGGAAAAAAAAAACAAAGTTTTGTTGTGGGATGATGAAAGAATTTAAGTGCAAGTCTAACTGTTGAAAATATTCTTTTTTTTTTAGATTATGAATTTGAGTCACACATTTTGTAATTCATCTTTCATTATTTTATAAAAATCATATATTGATGAATAAAAATTATATATTCAAAGTTATATATCACATAATAATCAAGATAAGGATCCAAAGGTTCTATAAAAAAAATAAAAAAATCCAAATGTTCTCTGATTATTTATGAAGTATCAAAATAATTCCCGATTATTCAAAATTCTTATTTTAATTTCTTAATTTTTAAATAAGCATTTAAATAATCCTACAAAATGATTTATTTAGGTTTTATTTAGTACAACTTTTTTAATGATTTAAAAAACAACTTTCTAATATAATAAATTCTAAAAAACTTTATTATAAAGCTATTTTAAATGCATTAAGAAAAATGTCATAAACGAGATCTTAGCCCTATTAAAAGATTCAATGAATCAAATTGGTATTTTTATACCGTTTGAGATTATTTTGATCCTTAAGAAAAAATTAAACGACTAATTCAGTCCTTTTCTCTATTAATCTTTTCTTATTTCTAACTATCTCTAAAGATAAAATTAGCAAAATATTTAATTTTTTAAAACATTTTTTATTTACAAGAAATCGAGCAATATCAAAAAGTGAACGTGTCAAGATCAATGATAGTGATGCATGGACAAGCACAGTATAACCTAATTATATCTTAATAACCTTTGCTGTGTGGTAAATTTCATTTGCATTTCATTTCAGCATGGGGTTCCTTTTTTTTTTTCTACATTGTATTGATTCCATTTAAAGGGTTTTGCATTGGATGCTGTGATTTATGATTTCATATTTAATTAATAAAATTTCATATTTGTTCACTGATGGCAACTCACTTTAAAATTTTACCATTTCAGTTTTGATCTCTTCATCATTATAAAATTTCAGTTTCAATATTTTGATTATAATTTAGATGGGGTTCCTTTTTTTTTTCTACATTGTATTGATTCCATTTAAAGGGTTTTGCATTGGATGCTGTGATTTATGATTTCATATTTAATTAATAAAATTTCATATTTGTTCATTGATGGCAACTCACTTTAAAATTTTACCATTTCAGTTTTGATCTCTTCATCATTATAAAATTTCAGTTTCAATATTTTGATTATAATTTAGGGTTTATTTTAAATAATTTTCTTGTTCTTATATATTTCAAATAATTATCATAATTTTATTTCGCTTCTGTTTTTTTAATGCTTTCTCTTTAATTTTTTTAGTAGAAAATTATTTTTTACAATCAGAATAGTTAAATTATTTTCTTCATAATAATTTTGCAAAAGAGGCCCTTTGTGAATTCGAATTTGATTTCAATTCTAATTTTTATTACAAAGTCATTTATATGAATTGTATATAAAATTTTCTAAATTTGATTATTCTTTATTTAAAATAAATTTATAAATTAATATATATAAAGAATAATTACTTATTCTATTTGATCGAGTAGATGTGGCTACAATGTTTGAGAACTGATGACGCTAGCAAGGTCATAACAGAGGTTCATGAAGAGCTTTATGGTGCTCATCGATCAAACCCTAAGGATGTCGTTCATAATCAAAAGAAATGACTATTATTGATCAACAATTGTGAAAGATTGCGTCAATCTTGCCAAGAAATGTCATGAAAGTCCTTTGCAGACTTACAGTGGACATCGAGCTCTACAGTTTTACAATGACCTTTAAACCACCAATAATCTTAACAATTATAAACGTTGCAATAGCCTAAAAATAAATGTTTCAAAAAGCCTATTTTGGAAATAATATTATTGGATATATCTGCTTATTTATGTTATTGTCGTCATCAGAATATTAAAAAAATATATTAAATTATTTTCAGATATATAATATAGTTATATTTGATGAAGTAATTATCAAGATATTTTCAGAAAATAACAAGCAGACGAGGGCAACTTGGTAGATAATTAAGTTGATTGGGACACTGTGATGTGGTGAGAAATATAAAAATATTAGATTGATTTGACAATAAATAATTATTTGATAAAAAACAAAAATTATGATTATAAATAAATAAAAAATAAAATAATAATAATAAATCAACTGTACGGGCTTAACCTTATGTTGATTTATAAAAAAACAATTAAAAAATCTTGAGAATGTAAATATCAATTTAATAAAATTAATTATTTATTTATAGCACATTTAAAAAGTAATTTTTATTTTATCGAGTTATAATCTCAATCATTTTAATCCCTACTCCTAAAGTTTTTTACTGATTATTTCGAATTAGTTTCTTTTTACTCATTATTAAAAAAAAGTGAAACAGAAAGAAAAAAATATTTCAAATTAATTTTCATTTAATAAGATAGTGACGACCAACCTAAGCATGGTCTATTTGCTGGTTAGGTGGCCGTACGCTAATTTTTTTAATATTACTTAAGTACTGTGTTAATGTTAAAGCATAAGCAGAAATTAATTAATTAGTCCACCTACATCGATTAAATATTTAATTAATTCATAGTTTAATTAAGGCTTTCTTTAGTGCGGTTTTCTTATAGCTTTTTATTTTAAAGTAATTTTTTTAGTACAAAAATTTTTTGAATTAAAAATTTTTAATTATACTAAAAAATTATTTTAAAAATCAATTAAAAAAATTGTCTCAAGAAAACCTAAATGTAAAAGAACATTTTCAATGCTTGTGGATAAAAAAATATTTTACTCTAACTGCTTTAAATGGTAAAAATTGTATTAATAACTCATAAATAAAAATCATACACCAAAACAAGAGGAATTTGTTTTTACTTTTTTTGAATTTAAAATCACAACTTTAAATAAATTTTTGAAAAAAAAAATTACTTTAATTCCTACAAGAAAATAAAATAAATGAAGTTAACAGATTTTTTATTTTTAAAATATGATTTCAAATTTCAAGAAACCAATGATCCGTTAGGGAGTAATTAAACGTCTCTCTCTCCCTTAAGACAACAACATTAGAGTAATATTGTGTTACTCATTCAAATTTTTAGCGTGAGATTAAGGCCTCGTTTGATTAGGCTTTTTTTCTCCGTTTCCGTTTGAATAAGCCGAAATCAATTAGTATTTACTGTTTGGAATCAAAGCTTAACAATAATTCCTTTTTAATAAACATCATTTTTTCGGCGGTTACAAAATTCTTTTCGTATCTGCTTCTTCGGTCACAAAACGGAGTTTCGGTCACAAATTGTCTTTTATAATAAAATCTCAAAAGCAAAACTCCTAAACAAACAATTTAAGGCTTCGTTTGATTCGGTTTATGCTTTCATAAAAATGAGTTTTAGAAAAGGAGGTTGAGAAAAAGCCGTTCAATAAAATGGAGTTTCAATAATAAGATATGTTTGACTAATATTTTTAAAAGTGCTTATTAATACTTGAATGATTTGAGGCGGTTTTCTTATTGGTTCTTAAATCAGAAAGATAGCAGTCCCAAACTAAAACTAGGACTTCATTTAAGACAGCTTTCTTACTGCTTTTTGAAGTAGCTTTTTTAAAATTTTTTAACTAAAAATTTGCTTTAAAAAGCAATGAAAATGCTGTCCCAAAGGAATCCTACGGCTTCTTTTGAAATAACTATTTTACTAATTTCTAACACAGCTTGTTAGAACAAAAATTTCAGGTTAAAAAAAAAATTATATGAAAAATATGCTTTAGAAAGCAGCAAGAAAGCTGTACCAAATGAAGTATATGATTTTGTTTGGGATGGCTTTTTTACTCCTCTTAACTAATAAAAAATTAAAAGATTTGTCCTAAAAAACCGCTCAAAGCAACTGTAAAAATCATTCCAAACTAAGCCTAAGACTTCCCTGAAGATAATTTTCTTTAAAAAAATAATAATAATGATCATGAAGCCTAACACATTTATAATGAACAAAAAATGGTTATAAAGCAACATGCACTAACTTATTTTCTACTAATTATACAAGTTTAAAATTATAAGAAGCTTACATGCATGTACTGATGTACCTGATAATAGGAAGTGGCTGTTCCAAAGAGAAAGTCAGGAGGAAAGTGGCTTCTATCGATCCCAGCAACTAAAGAGAACAAGCCAACCAGCAGACCAAGCGTTTCTCTGTACTTCTCCATCATCCAATCGCTCTCTCTCGCTCTCTCTCTCTCTCTCTCTCTCTGAGCTATTGAAGTACTGTATCTGTATATGAACTTGTTGGGAGAGATGATGAGTTTCAGAGTGGGAGGGCTTTATATAAAGATGAAGAGGCGCCACGAATTCAGATTTGGAATGGATAGCTATAACTTTATCAAAAAAAAAAACAACAGAGGAAAAGATCGCATTCAGTAGAACTTTACCGACCTTAAAAGAGAAAAAAAAGGGTCGTTGGACGGTTGCTTCATATGAACGGACACTGAACATTTCCGTTTCACGAGAAAAAATTAATGCACTTCTGAAATTACTAAACTGCGCCTGGAAGTGTAGGTGGGAATTTGTGATCACAGCTTATTTTGATATGGTGGTTGAAAGTTTTGATTATGAACAAAGAAATTTTAGATTTGAGTATTACGTATGTGAAGTGTGAGTGAGTTTATCTTAATTAGCCTAAATGTCTGGAAAAAATATTAAATTGATTGAGTAATTAGACAAAAAGCAATAATATTCTAGAAATAATTAGTGTATATATAATATATTTTTTATAAAATGACTATTCCTTTCAATATGTGTATGTTGGATTGAACAAGTTTAAATTCATACAAGGGGAAGAACGAATATTAAAATTTGAGTCACTTGAGTTGAGGTTGTTGAATAAGCTCAAATAACCCTTTGCTGGCAAGTCTTTCGAGGTTGTCTCAAAAGAGATAAATTATTCTGTGCAAACACCGGATAGTCCGAAGAACAACTAGAATGTGCCACATCACCCGGTACACAGCGGTACCACGCACTGGTATCTAGCAAAAAAAGAGATGTTGCGCATTCTGGTTGGTCTCCGGATGCCGTCTGTTGTCCGCACAAATTATTTTTTCCTCCAAAGAAGAAGTCTATAAGTAATAAAATAAATGTCATAATTGTACAATCAAATATTTATAAAGTCTAAGTTAGATAAATTTAGATCAGTTGAGGGCATCTCAGTAGGATGAAATAGATAAAGTGGTGAATTTGTGAGGGTTATAAACTTGTAAAGAAAGTAGGCCTACTCGTTCGAGTATAGAATCTACATGCCCTGTGCACGCTCAGTTTACCCATGCTATGTTTTTTTTTTTTTTTTTGACAATTAAGGGCCACACCCATTCATTATAATATAGAAAATATAGTTACATGTGCAGAGAAGAAATATAAAGGCTGTCTAGAAGGAAAAACAAACAGTAAGAGAGGAAGAGGGGAGAAAAGCAAAGAGGAGAACCTCCAAAAAAATGTGCAACATAATACACATAAAAAATGCATGTGCATCCAAAAACTATACATCCCAAAATTATTTAAAAACATAAAAACAAAGAAATACTAGCGGTTAGGAAGGTGGGCTCAGTAAAAGAATTGCAAAATGAAGCCATCCCCTGGTTGCAAAAGAGAGCCACAAAATTGGAGTGAACAGAAGGCCAAGATGACAAGCGAAGAGGGATCATCCACTGCCATCCAAGGGGGGCCATGAAGCAATCCGGTTATCCTTACCCAGAAAAATTGCTAACCACAATAGCAGAACAACCCTTAGCCAAACCATCAGGAGTAAAACCATGAAGAAGAGGAGCAACCGAGGAGGTGTCTCATTAGAGCATATTCAGCAAAACACTTCCATTTTTCAATTTCATTAATTTTGTAACAGATAGTTGATGATGAAGCATGAGAATTCCCAAATTTCATGTCAGTTCTTTCTCTCCGAAGGTAGTAAACTGAGCAGCATATAGTTAAATTATAGAATTATATGGCATTTTTAACTGATGTTTGTAGCTCATTAATGTTGCCAACAACCTAATAAATGTTTGGCCTAAGGAGCTTCCTTCTCATGCTCCGCATTAAATTAATAATAACTAAGAAAGAGTAATTGCATTCAAATAAGAGATGATTTGTGGTCTCATTGGAATTGTGTCATAAAACACAATTTGAATCAATAGCAATCCCACACATAAGAAGAGTATATGCAGTCTTGAGACCACCCATTAACACCATCCAACAAATGGAAGAAAAACGTATGGCATAACATTTGTGCCAAACAATGTATCTCCAAGATATATAAATATGATGCTTGTAAAAATATTCCTAACATTCACTATAACTTCCACCATTAGCATTACCACAAAGCAAGCAAATAGAAGTTGGGGAATTCAAGAATTTCATTTAGAGACTTAAGAAGAGTAACAGTGAGTATAGAAGGAAAATGCCAACCATGATTCTTGAGAATATAAGATATCCTAGCATTTAAGGGGAAGAGATTGAGAATAGGTAATATCTCATCATACTCCTTCAGCATTTTCTTGTAATACAATGATCCCAGTAAAGTAAAATAGGGTAGATATAAGAAATTTTAAAATGGAAAATTTCTTTTGCAATGGAGGCATCATTACAAAGATTTTTCCAAAAAGAAGTGATGGCATATATAGGTTTAAGGTGACCTTCGCAAGGAAGTGTATTTATATAAAGGCCACTTAAAAAGTGGGGAATCACTATTATAAATCCTACAAATTAAAGAACAATTGTAGTAGAACTCAATGGAGTGAATTGAAGGGAGACTAAGCCCACCAAGAGCCTTGGGTTTGTAAGTATTCTTCCATGAAATAAGGTGCAGCTTTCTTACACTATTTTCTCCAAAATAAAGAAATTTAGCACTACATTTTTTCAATTTGCTTGATAATATTTCTAGGCATAATGGATCCACAAATCCAAAACATAATAATATTCCAAGTAGTAAAATGTAATAACTGATATCTTCAAGCAAGTGAAAGATCTCTAGCTTTCCAACCCGAGAGTTTATGCGTGATAGTATCCAAAAGCTTAGAAAAATCAGCAAGTTCAGTTTATAAGGTAAAATGGAAATTCACAGATAAGTGATGCACTGAGAAGAAGAAGGGATGCTTATGATAGAACAAATATTATTTGCATTATGGTAGTTAGGGAGAGTATAATGGAGCTTTTGTCAAAGTTAATTTAGAGATCCGATGCAACAGAGAATAGTTCTAAGAGCTTTTATATATTCACACAATTTAGGTCATGAGCTTTACCAAAAATAAGGAGGTCATTTGCATATAGTAAGTGTGAAAGCTGAAATCCATTCACTTGAGGAGATTCAATCATTTAAGTATGAGGGGAGTAACCCAGCAAACATGAGAAGACATCCATAATGATAGTAAACAAAGGATGACTAAACGAACAACCCTGTCTAATCCGACATAAGAGGGGAAAAACCCCTCTAAGGCACCATCAATGCAAAGGGAGAACCAAACATTAGTAATACAAGCTTCAATCCACTTAATAAAGGTGTTAGGGAATCCTTTTTGTATAAGCCTAACAATAAAAAAATTCCTTGAAATAATATCAAAAACCCTCTTAATATCCAGCTTAACACACTTGAGCTTTTGCCTTACATAAATTCTAGAGTGGTGCAATAATTCCTTATCCAGAATCACATTATCCATGGAGCCTTTAGTAAATGAACCCAGATTAATTCCCTTTAATGATGTGAGGCATAATAGGTTTGAGGTTAGTCACCAAAAGTTTATCAATAATTTTGTAATTGGTGTTACAAAGGGAAATTAGCCTAAATTCAGATATATTGTTAGCATGACTATTATTAGGAATCAGGGTAAGAGCAGTGGTGTTGGCTGTCCTTGGTATGTAGGAGTTAAGGTGAAAAGATTTTATAGCTTTACAATCCGCAGGGCTAGTACGTTAGTATCCAAGTAGATTTATAAAACTCAAAGTTGAACCTGCCCGGAACTAGTGTAGAATGAGAAGCTCTAAAGTAAACAACTTTTTTTATTTTAGAATATGAAAATGTTTCAATTAGTATGGCATGTAAGTGGATGGGAACTACATCCCCAAGAGGAAGTAGGCTAATATCAATAGGCTAATGAGAGATGGGATTAAAGAGGCTATGTTAATTCTCTATGGTAGATTTTACAACATCAGCGTAAGAGGAGGAGGAGCTAGATATGTTTAATGAGATAGTTGTTTTGTTGTAACTCCTCATGTAGATTTTAGAGCAAAGAAACTTGAGGTAATCCTCAACTTGAGAAAGCCACTTGGTTTTTGCTCTTTGTATTATTCAGGATGTCTAGTGAGAGGTGGTTTTAGTTATTGAGTTGACCATGTCAAACTCTGTGTGATTTAGTCTCACATGAGTTTAGATGGGTTTGGAGTATCTTTTAAAATAGGTTTGAGAGCTCAAAGGGTTAGATTTGACTAAGTTGGTTGAAATGACCCATTTGAACTCTTAAGGGCTCATTAGGTCAACCTAGCTTGACTGGGTCAACTAGGTTGACCCAAGGATGGGCCCAAGCTAAAAATATTTAGTTTGATATTCAAAAATTATTGGAAGTAGTTCCAAGCAATTTGGAGTTCATTTGGTTTGAAATTGATGTTTGAACCCCCTAAGGGCATTATGGACATTTTGACCCCTAGTAAACTGGGGGTCAGAGTGGATCCACCAAAATATAGTTTATTTCTCAATAAGTCATAATCAAGGGTCTAGAAGTGATTGGAGGCTTTGGAGAAAGCTCCAGGGTAAGGATCCACTTGATGATAGGTCTAGTGGTAGAGGCCATAAATATTTGAAGGTTTTATAGTTTTTGAATTTCAATTTAAATTATGGGGTTAGAGACCTCAAAATAGGCTCAAATTTGGAGGATTTACTCTAGAGACATGTCCTATCAATATGAAATTGATAGACTCTCAATCATAGGTCATTGACTAGGTTTTGCAGTGTTTGAAAAATCCTTGGAAAATGGTTTCAAGATAGGGTCTTTATCCTTGGATTTCTTGAGGTTTGAATTACATTAAGGTCTAGATTAATTTGAATCTGGATTGGCCCTAGAATCTAAAGGAATTATAGGCTCTAGAATCTAAAAGAGTTATAGGTTCTAGATAGATCCTAAAGTATAGAATCTAGAAGGGTCTTAGGGTTTGGAGTCTAGAAATATCTTAAGGTT